GAATTCTCGACTTCGGTAACCGCGGAAGGCTTCGTTCCCCGTTCTATGGATCGTTAGCCTTTCTTCCAGTCAACGAACATTATTTTTACGATGAAAACAGGTCATTTCTTTGTTCCTTCCTCCTCTAAAGTCGAAAGTTTGGCCGCGAATGAAAAACAAAAGGTAATCTTGTTAACGATGAAACGGAGTCGATCTCTGGAAAATTCACCCTCTCTCTGCAGGAGTCGTTGATATTTTTATTTAATTGGAGATTAGCAGTTTTCTATTTGTTCATCGATTATCGAATACAATCTCATCATAAATGCGAATAAAAAAAAGGACAATTAAGATTAATCGAGAATCAGTCAATGTTGGCGCAACAGATCCTCAGTAAATCGAAATCGGTGACAGTACCGATATATTGGAAGAATCGATCCTAAAAATAACTCACTGCTACGAGTTTAATACCTCGAGCGCATCGCCGTGTATATTCTACGACGAAGAAAAGGGACGCGAGAGAGCTTAGGTAGAAGGCGATAAATCGAGACAGTTCGGACCCTCGAAACTTTTCCATCGGTGGGCGCGCATCTGACGAAAAGTGCTCTCACAGACTTATCGATTCGATACGTCGGGACATTGCCTGTCCCACGAGTGAAATCGAAACAGAAGTAAGTCGGATAAAATCCCTTCCCCAATGATGGTAGATCGCGAGTTCCGATAGTTATTTTCGCGATTGCTCCTCTTCAATGTATCGCGGGGAGGGAGGACAAAAAACGGCGGATTGGTCGCGCCGCCGGACAACGTACCGTGTGTCTCGCCATGATAAATCGGCCGATCTTCGAGTCGCAAACTCCGGATGATAACGGCGATGGAACCGCTGCTGGCTGACGGCCGATCTCGCGGGTATCGCTCGACGGAGACTAATCTACCGCGTACTTTCTCAGCGTGTTTGCGGTGACACGGTGACAGGTGCTCCTACCTCTTCCGACAAATCAGGGACATACCTAAGCGTGATCATGTGTCTTTTTTTGGTCGCGTTTGTGTTTCTAGACTTGTTTGTTTCTCATGTGTTTGGTTTTAATGCTGATGAGATGATCTTACACAAAGTCACACATATTCCTGTTTTCGAAGAAATGCCTCTTCTCCATGCTTTTAGACAAAGTTCCGGTGATGTGCGATAGGTATCGTCGAATGGGCTTAACGTTATCAAAGTTGCAATTTTAAAGAAGGAAAATTGAAAGGAAAATGTGTCAAGTTGAAGAAAAGAATTGTGTATGGAATGAGTTTAAAAAGTATTACAGTCACAGAGTTCCTTTGTGAAGAAAAACGGCCAATTTTGCTAATTCGACTCCCTTTGTATATTTCGATATTACATTTGTAATTTTGTATTTTTTGATATCATAATTGTTGATTTTTATTGTTGAAATCCGTTTGTAAGAAATTTCTGGATCACGCTGTATATTGGAAAGAGACAGGATTTAGTATCAGCTGACTTCCGAAATGATTCGCGCGTATTTAAACGCGATATTATTTTTATGCACCGTTGCCGGAGCACCAGCGCCGAAAATGTTTATCAATTACATTAGATTAGCGGATTGATCAATTTCATCAATCAAGATTGTTTCTTTATTAATTGGCAGGACGAAATTAATTCGATGAGTTAAGATAAACTCATCCAGTGGATTATTATTCGAATAATTACAAGTTGATCGTTAAGTAGAAAACTATCTTCGGAAATGAGTAAGTTAATTTATTGTCTTTTCTTAATTTATTAAATAAAGATAAGGGACATTTGTTGCACCTGGTGTCGCCCACGTGCGCTTGCTGTCGAAAACTGCTGTCGGCAATAAAGGCAAAAAGCTAACGATTACCTACTGTCACGAAACATGTCGGTAAGAACAAGATGCTTAACGTCTACATCAAAACTCGCATTGTGCATTGCATCATGATTCATGCTTGGATTTCCAGTAGATAGATAGATAGAATTAGTTTTATTGTTTCCCTTAGGGTTACAATCTTCTTACAATTCAGACTTATACCTAAACTTATTCTAACTTATTCTAACTTATCCTACATATCCTACATTTTAACATTTTAACACGCTCCCGATATGCGAAAGACACGTTCGAACAAACTGAAAGTCTAATAGCATGTCTTCAAAATATGCATTATGTCAGACAAAGAAAGAAGTGACATTTCTCTGGGGAATTTCTTCTAGTCTTAAGTTCTTCCTACTCAAATGTCAGTTTATGTAATTAGGTTATCGAAAATATTTTCTTTTTATCTCCAATTCTCTCGACAGAGTGCTGATTCTCTTGCGCAGGGGAGTGCGTTCGCTTATTTCGAAATTTTTACGATTTGAATTCTCGCGGAATTAGAAACTAACGGGACTTGACGATACTCGCGTAAACCCGTGCGAAGGGGATTGAGCCACGCTAATGCTTGCGACATCAGGTCACCGAATATATTGACGCGTTTTATGGCAGACTGCGATTCGAGAAGACAGTCGAATTGTAGCGGCTACGATGTTGCGGAGCAGCGGGGAGCCGATCAGCCATTGTCTCCGTGAAATCCTTGATATTGAAATAAGCCGATACTCGTCGCGAATGTGTACTCCGTTCACATAGTGCGAGCTGCATCCGTTCAGAAATCGCGCACTCGAGTTTTGGAGCGGGACGAGGGGAGCCGCTTGCGATTTCGAACGCCGTCAATAATCGTATCTTCATCCTGTATCGGAGATCCAAGGATCCCGCGGGCTCCTTACCTCTCAGCAAGACCGAGCACAACCGGGCAGCCGCGTAGGACAGCAGGACAGTTGCTGGACGATCCTGCTGGCTGCCTTGAGGGAAATTCGTCCAGGCGGCATGGCTCCCACCTCTTTACTTCGATCCTCCTAGCTGTTGCCCGGCGAAGGATGTCTCACCGTTCGTCACTAATTCCCGAGTAATTCGTATCGCCGCTCGCCGTACCATCGGCAATTCGCACCTCCTGCGTCGCTCTTTTGTGACCCGCGCACACCGGGCATCAGCAAGTAAGGCCTGTTGGCAACAACCCTCCCCGCACCAGGAAGTCAGGCCGCGTCTCTCATGAGGACAACCGTACCGGGTGTCATCGCACCACGTCGCGTCACGCTGCATCTTATCGGGAACGCGGACGCCGCGCGATTCGTTCGATCGTCGACTCCACGAAGAGAAGACCGAGAAAGGGGAAGAAAGAGAGAGAGAGAGAGAGAGAGAGAGAGGAGAGAGAGAGAGAGAGAGAGAGAGAGAGAGAGAGAGAGAGAGATGCACCGTGCAGAGTTTGTATGACTGACAACAGGATCAAAGACGGAGAGAGGAGAGCACGAAGACCTGGGCACAGGACACGATGGCCCGGCCACTGCGCCGGTACTGAGGCTATGCCGCAGCCTCGGCCTCCTGGTACTCCCTATTCCTCGCTCTCTTCTGCCGTCCCGCTCCCGTTCTGCTCGTCTCGCTCTCCCACTCTCTTTCTCTTTCTCTGTGTAATACTCTTCCACCCACACCGCGGATCGTTCTCCCTTCCTCGCGCCGTTACTCGCGCGCTCTTCCTCTCGCGCGGCCATGCCATGGTCGGCAAATTTGGAGAACCCTCCTGGCGCATGTGTATCCAGCTCTCCTTCCCTCTCTTTGTCTATCTTCCTTCTTGCAACGCAAGCACGCGTCTCTTTCGGAGAGTTCAAATGAACTCTGCTCTGTAGCTTCCGAAAATTTATCTTCCGTCTCTTTCTGAAGGAACCGCCACCCTTCCGCCACCGCCGCCACGTGAATTTCTCTCCCTCTGTTTCACGCGATAGCCCCCTCCGTCGACTATCTCCAATTTGCTCGCGTTTCTCTCGATCTCTCCGTTCGTCTCACCCTTCTGCGTTTCCTATCTCCCTCTCCGTTTCTCCTGTGCGCAACCCTCTCTTCCGTACGTCCCGTCCCTATTCGCGTTCATCATTTTTCCTCTTCCACCTTTTCTAAAACTCCGTCTCGGTGTCTTCGGTACCACCATTTTCTTCTCTTTCTGTTCCGTTCTCGCGTTCACCGACTCGAAATACTTGCCCTCTTCCTCTGACCCGCGCGTATCGTTCATCCTCTTTTAGTCGGACCGCTTGAATACCGCTGCCTTTTCGTCTATCAAATGCTTCCTGCGACTTTCTCTCTCTCTCCCTCTCCCTTTTCCCCTCCCCTCTCTTCATCTCCTTCGTCTATTTTTCGTCCTCCCCCAACTCGTGTATCCCTTCATCTCTCCATTCGCACTTTCTGTCCTTCTTCCTCACCTACCACCAACTCTGCACTAGCTGCGCGGAACTCCACTCCTCTTGCTCCCAGGATCGTCATCCCTCTTCCATCCCTATCTCGTACCCCGACTTCCATCCCTTTCGTTCATCCCGACTCGACGAGCTCCCCTCCGCTCGCCCAACAGCGCCGCGATCCCGTGTTCTTTACATCCGTCGCGTTCCACCGCGAAAGTCAACCCCGTATCGTCGGAGGGTGCATATTCTTCCTGCTCCGCCTGGCGTGGGTAGCTGGGCGCGGAAACCTTGCGACACATTCCTGAATCGAGGGGGAGGACGAAAAATACAGATGTTCGGACTTTTATGTCCCGCCTTAGAATAATACGCCATTTGCGGACGGATGATAAGAGCTACCGATAATTTATATCGAAAGCAAACTCGATAAAGAAAAGGACACGCGCATCACACATTTCAAAATAATATATAGAGGGCCGCTCTTACGTCTTGCATTTATAATAAAATAAAATGTAATCGGGTTTCGACGTTTACTTGACGACAATGTCGATGAGAAAACTCTAAAGTTAAGATCGCAAAAACTGATCGAGAAAAATGGAGCAAACTGAACTAAAATGCGCGACGCTATGTTCTTAATCGTAATGAACAAACTGCGACAATTTCGTTAAACTTTAAGAATATTTAATGATTACAATAGAATTGTAATTATTACGCAGGAAATGTACATGTTAGGATATATGTTAAACTGGTGAAAGAGAACAATGCATTTGAAAAAATTCTCTTTATTCCTAGATTCGAGAAGAGGTGAATCCAAATATCTTTGTAGAAAGATATCAAAGACAAAAAACGCACATTTTAACAGCTGTCATCTTATGTAGGAGTCCCGTATTACATTATACATACATATTCTATTATAGTATAATATTTTTCTAAATTTTGACTTATTAATTAACTAATTAGTCAACGTATTTATGCATTACACTTCCCCGTTACATTAAACGATATGGCACGAACGAAGTTTTCTTCGCTCTGATTTGCGGACCAGTCAAGAAATGTTAAATTAATCGCAATTGATATTTGGCACTAAATGTAACAGGAACTTTTGCATACTATTATTTAGAGGCAAAAAATTTCTTTGGTAAAGATTTGCCATCGAGATCAATGAAACGAACGTGAACATAAATTTAACAACGTACGTGCACGTGTATTAAGATAAATAATTATCTTTCTCGTAACAATTCTGCATTCGATATCGTATTCGACTCATTTAAACTTGTCGATGGCATCAATAAAAAATATTATAATCGCAAAACTGTTCAAATTTTTTTGTCTAACAGTTGTTAAGAAATAGCTTCTGAAAATTATAAGAATCCAGAATTGTATTCAAGTTTATATGTCAGCGTAAGGAAAGTTTTATTTCTCTTCCAAACGGTATATCTTTATGTCATCGTTTAACTCCTGGTAAAAAGTAAAACGTTCACATTGTACTCCAAAATGTACTTGTAATATTTTCCATTGTTACCGTCGACATTTGCAAGATTAGATCAAGGCAAAGTGTCTCGGAATAGCTGTCCTTAATCTTAACGATAAGCACTTTGATGCCATTAATATTAGTAAAGGCACGCCGGGCAATTCTTTCACGTCGAATCAATGTAGAACAAATCAATATCAAGTCTGTACAAATTCAAAATAAGTCTTCGATCATTCTCGGTTCACGAGAATTGCATTTCTAGTGTCATAAAGATCGGTCATATAGCGCGGACGATTCGTAGCCGCGAAGACTATTCTCTTCTCTGGCGGTTCTAGGTCAGCGAGCCCACCCGAAGCATTTGCCCCAAAATTTGTCCATTGTATGATACAAGTGAGGCAACACACGTGTGAGACTGTGCGCTTCGTCCGTGTACGTGACCTGTTCGAACATAATGTCCTGATACTCCAGCGACTTGATGAGCGACATCGCTTGCTGGTAATGCACGTTGTCGTCCCCGGTACCATGTATCACCATATACTTTTTTCCGCGTATTCCCTCGGATATTCGCGAGATATCCGTATTATTGTAGCCAATGAGGTTGTCCTCTGCAGTCGGCAGTCCCATGAATCGTTCCGTGTAGACGGAATCTGTAACGAATCGGACGGCGATACTAAGGAAACGTTTCTCGATGTCCGAATTCGAAGTCTTTACGTTCAATATCGTGTGAAATCATCGTTATTACAACAGATGTTAAAGATTAATCTTGAGAAATTACACTCCCAGATTTTTCTATTCAATTACCGTAATAGATCCAGGAAGTCACAGGCGCGACAGATATACCGCACTTGAAGACAGAGCCGTCATCTTTCGCGAGCGCCATACCAGTGTGGAAACCGCCATAGCTCCAGCCCCATATGCCAGTCCTGTTCGCGTCGATCCACTTGTACCGCTTCTGCAGAATTCTGCAACAAGAGGCGTTCTCATATTCAGAGTGACGTTCGTTGCCGAGAACGAAGCCAATTTTCGATCATTTTCGCGTTACTCACGCGGTGACAGCGATCGTATCTTCAATTTCTACGGTGCCCATCTTTCGGTATATCTCGAAGAGCATCTTGCTACCCTTATTAGACGAGCCTCGTCCATCGATCAATGCATAGATCACGTTTCGATTGGTCGTAAAGTAATGCTCATACCCGAAACTGGCTTCTTCGATGATCCTTAGCGTGTTCGGACCACCGTAACTGCGGGTTGTAATGTTTTACGAAATGTTTAGCCGCAACGAAAACGCGAATGAAAGATTAGCTTTCAGCTTTTTTTTATCTCCTTCGACACTACGTGGATTTTATCTACCTTCGAGCTACAAACGGACATCATGAATGTCTAAGTAGGTGGAGCCCGAATGCTTCTTAAAAAATAAGGGAAAAGTAAGCGAGAGTCATTAAAGATAATCGATTGTTGCGGGAGCTCCGGCGTGAATTGGCCAAGCAAACAGAGATCAGATCAGCAGTCCAATTCTAAATGGAGATGGCAATCTTTTTGCGTGCCGATCAGTCATAGCGTACACCAATTCTAAGTGTACCGCGGCCGCTATTAACGATATATGGTAAACATTAAGCCACTGTAAAGTTGGCACCTCATTTTCCAAGATCGAAAGTTTTCTCCAGCAATTTCGTTTACACGCGCAATAGTTCTGCACTTTCTAATAAGAAGCAGTTCCGTTAATTTGAATAGAAAGGAATGGCATCTGAAAATGGGAAGCGCTAACTTCCCGTGGCACCTCAAGTTGCGAAAAAATCCTTCCAACCAAATTCTATAGTTGTAGGAGAGTTTCTGATGAAATTTAACACCAGTTCTCTTGCAAAATATGCAGTTATATTTGCGATAGGGAATTGAGGCTTTAACTTTATTCAGACCTATACGCTTTGCAAAACGAAAATGTTCTGACGATAAGCAAAATGTTGTTTTATTATGCAACATAAAATTTTTCGAAATCTACCCGCGATAACGTCATAAAGATATTCCTATACATTCGTTATCGAATCAAGCGTGATATAAAGCCTGTGGACGATATGGAAATACACGTATACCTCAATAAACCGGAAACTCAATATCAGTTAAATTTTATTCGCCATAAGTTCCGTTTTCTATAACTTCTTATCTTCGTAATGAAAAACTCTCATTGCTCAGAAGCACAAATAAACTAGGTAAATTATCACGCGGACAAATACTGACGGATATCTTTACGTTATCTTAGCAAACTTTGTTACTTATTTTAACGAAGAGAAATCTGGATACTCACACGTATACCAGCATGGGATACACTTTGTTTTCGTCGAAATCCGGAGGCAGGAGCAATTTGACCCTGCAGTCATAGCCGTTGACAGTAATTGTGTAGTTCCTTTGTTGCGGTACCAATCGTTCCGATAAAAGTTCCCTTACCCTCATGTTAGTATTCCAAGTCGAGACTGACTGATGATTTTTGTTGTAAATCTCCACCGTGGTAGGATCGGGCCCGGAGCAGGTGACGGCATAATACGATCTCTGGGTTGAAAAAGATGCAGTCGCGTAGGTGCATTTGTTTCCTGTAACATTTAAATTCATCGCAATTTGAGGTACACTTATACCGCGTAATAAGATACTCATTCGTGCCGCTTCAATTTTGCTCAAGTTGGACGACGTTCTGCTCAGTTATTTCCGCCTTCATTTTTGCATACACGTGCGTGGTATCGAAACCTGCATAAAATTCTGCCCACCACCGTACGTTGCTAACTTCCCGTCGACGGAAACAGGGGGCATAAATTTTGACACATTCTACTTTTCGCCGACGAAATAAATTCCAGGCAAGCGTCATATTTTAACGGATATAGGATATAGGACCCTGGCATCTACCAAGGTACAGACCTTTCACAGACGTTGATTTTTCTCGCGGGCGCAAATAGCCCGGCGAATTAATCTTCTTTACGCGATAGCGCTCCGTCTGGTGAACGCAGCTGCCGCCGATAGCCGGAAAAAGTTACGCGAAAAGTAATATTTCAGTCCCTTCCTTTACGCGACGAGACGTCTCGTGCAGGAATTAAGATTCGGATCTTTCGGAATCTCCTCGCGTAGCGAGGGAGAAGATAAGTTCGCGTCGGGTCCACGCGGGAGGAGAATTCGGAAATTTTTCCTTGAATTCGCGCAACTTTCGGCGCGTTGCAGAAATATGCGAGCGAAAGTTGCGACGATTTTCTACGGGATCGAGAGAGGTAGATTACATCATATCGCCGTTCGCGTAGATCTTCCCCAGCCCCCCGTCACGTATACACATGCGCGCTAAATACTCATGAACGCGACTTGCGACTTTTGTCAGATGAAATTACTCCCGGTGGACTTTCCGCTTTAATTGGATCGTGTACCTATCGCCCGAACAAGTTACAGATACTGTCGACGATGACTCCCGAAATTTCTCCGGCACTTACGGGACCGCTGTGGCACTTAAGCATCCTCTGAGCCTTCGGTCCTCCTTAGACGGTGGGACGCGAATCTAAGTAAAACGGACGATCGGACATTAAGAGCGATGAAGTTTTCATGCTTCTTGCGTAAAATATTCCTCCCGCGGGAGACGCCGTAGTTTAAATAGAATATTCGGGCGACGCCGAACGTTCTCGACAGATAAGGCCTTCACGTTCATGCACGATGTAAGATCGTAGTCTAAATTGATGACAAATGCCAACGCTCTCTCGCTCGGTCCCACACACGGGCTCTTTTCATATTCGTGATTTCGACGACTCACCTTCCGGCGTTAGCAGCTCGCAGGATATGCAAGTCGGTTTCTGGCTCCCATCCAGAGGCACCGAATACAAATTCCTCTGGGACGGTTCATTCGGCGCCGTGGCGAGATAGTAAACTACGCCTGAAGACGAATCGACTGCTAGAATCGTCTGAACCTCGGAGGGACCGGGCGTTAGGTCCACCGGTTTAATGAACTGGTCATCCTCGTTTAAGTACCTAACGAGACGTCAGTAAAGTTACGAAAAGAAGCTAGCAAGCTTCAACAATTCTCAGGATCACCGTGACTAAATTTTCCCAAGTTATGAGATTGCGCTGGAGATCGCAGATAAATTGTAGATTATTCGGAGTAAAAAAAATTTCGGGTCGTTTCGTGAGAATCGTAATTTTCTTCGTGAATTATAAAGATAAATTTGTTTAAAGATTGTGCAATATCTCACTTGACTATATGTCGGAATCTGCCATCGCCGGTACCGGAATCCTCTCGTCGTAAAAGCAATGCATAATCGCCGGCTTTTATAGGGCTATTCGGCTGTAGCCAGCCCTCGGTCTCCTCGTCGTACAAAACCAATTTGGCATCACCTTGCATGTCGTACATGGTCAGCTGGGATTGATTCTGTACGCGATTCGTCCATGTTGCAACCACGTGCGTTTCGTTCCACCAGCTCACGGCGTATAGAACATTGTCGCTACGAACCCGAATGTCAATGTGTTAAACACGACCATAAAATCATCCGAAGACAACTATAGAGACATTTATCATTGTAAATGGCAAACGTACCTGGTTACCACATCGGGCGCTTTCAAGGCGACTACTTTTGACGATGGATCTGACAAATCGATCACCGATAAAGATACTACCGGGTTCGGTGTACCTGCCTGAAAAAATGATGTTGATTTGATTAAAAGACTTAATATTTCGTTGAAGGAAATAATAGGAAATAATTAAAGTTTCTGCAGAAGTCTCTATTACCTAAAATAAAATATATTTTTACACGTGTCAATACTGAGTGCTGCAACTCGAGGGAAAAAATGATAGGTTAAATTCTGAAATTTTAGAGAGGAGATTTTACGCTTTTAGAAGATCTGGGGCGAAATTGAAAAAGAATTTTTCGTCTTCGTACGTGATCTCAGAGCTGAAGTTTTTTTTGTCAATTTTTCACAGCCAACTTTCAAATGGTACCACATGGTGCAGAAGCATCACCGAGGAAAAAAAGCTTGAAGAGATTTGAAAGCTGAGATTTCGTGCTTTAAAATATCTTTTCTAAAGCGCCACCATTTATCGCGTAAATACGTACATAAATTTGTACTTAATTTTTAACACCAACTTAAAGTGGAGCATCAACGGAATAATTAAGCGTGTTCGGTATTAATTAAATAGTTTGAATTTGATTACTCCGAGAAATTATCGCTAATAAAGAGGGATCTGCTTGTCGCTTTTGATAAACGACGATCTGACATAGAACTAGAAATGCCTCGCGGGCTTTTGTCACGGAAGATTGCGCTTCTACCAGCGCACTTCGACAATTGGATTATCCGCACGTGCCGACTCACGCACGCGGAAAATGAATCTATGGTAGAGTAAGCTCGAGTTAAACGGAAGAACGACGGTCCTTCCAACTCGTTACGGCAATAACCGATTTTGTCGAGTGGAGATGATTAGTCGAGTTCTCAGTGGTGACTTATCAATATTACCGTATCGGAATAATTCAAATATTTTTAGTTATAAGTGGTGCTGTAGTATTAAGAAAATATTATTAATCGTTTGAAACAGACAATTAAAGCTAGCCGATAGTTTTGTTGTATGAGCAGAGAAGGAATTGAAAAGATATTATCGATCCTAGAAGTATGGAGAAAAATTCGAAATATCTATTCAAAAATATCGCAAACTACGTATTTACATTCTTCACAAATATACTTTTCGATATGTAATTTGTGGAGAATTTATATTTGTGGGAAATGAAAGTACTTATATGTAGATCCAGAGATATTTTTTGAGGTAAAAAATCTCACCTTGGGATATTTTATTTCAACTTGCGTGGGGTATTGGTCTTTAAGAGAACCGGGGGAGCCATAATCAGACCACGTCATGGTCTTTACTTGGGTATCGTTGAAGGATGCAAAGGCCAAGTACTGTCCATCTGGTGAATACCACAGCGCGGTCGGAGACGCATATACTTCCTCTGTAATCAACATATGCCATCACTTATAATTATCCGACACAGATAGACGTGCTGCTTACACTCCGCGATGTATAATTCTTCTTCAAATCGGATATATTTCTTTTAAATATTCATATTTTTTCTTAATATAATGTAAAAAATTTGTAATATATTCATACGCATTATATACAATTGCATACAATATTTTTTAGAAATATGAATATTAATTTATGTAGATGTGTATTTGCGTCACAAAGAGACAGGTTTACCTTCATATGCCCAATCTGGAATTCCGTTGTAAATCTTTCCGGGTTTGCCACTGTACGTCAGTCTTCTTACTACATCTCCGCCACGAGTGAGAGTCATATAATAAATATCGTTATCGAGAACGTAAACCAAGTTACTGCCAATCGGCGACCACGTTGCTAGCGAGAGATAAGCGGCATTTGCAATCGTCCTAAATGCCCTGCAAATGTACAAAAAAATTTTTTGTTACCAGTATATATTTGCAATAGAAAAAGAAAGTCCGTGTAAATATTTTTACATGTGTTTTACATGATGTAAACGTACGAATTTTTATACCAGCTATGACTGCGATAACGATGGACATGAAGATAACAAAAATTGGAAAAATCCGGTGGACGGATTCAGTGAAATTGAAAAAGAAAAATGTTGCGTTGTGTATTTTGAGACACCTGTTCATGTTGCAAAAGATATAATTATTGAAATAATAAACAAACCATTTCTAAAGGAAAAAGCAGTTAAATAGAAAGTCAAATTTTTATTGCTTCATTAAAATATGTAAAGATAGAGAAGATAGAAATTGGTCGTGTAGGTCACGCATGGTCAAGTTTCGTGTCAAGCTTATCGGGGAACAGTTAATATTATCGGCGACAATATGAGTTTATATTATCAGCGGCAATGTTTGTGCGCTATAAAAATATAAACGAATTAACTTACTTTCTCTGCATGTCATACACCATGTACATTTTGAGGGTCGAGTGTCTGTACACCTGCAAAAATCATTTATTTTGTTTCTCGTGTTTTAGCGAGCGAAAAGTTATTAAATAATTGATCACTCACAAATAGAGTATTGCAACCGAGGAGAATGTATTTCCTGTTGGGTGAAATAGTTGCCGAAACAGTGCTCATTTTGTATAGCAACTGAAACAATTCCAACATTAAAATTAATTTAGTATGATCAGCTCGTTGGATGTAAAAACAAATGAATCAATACAAAGGCCAATGTTGCGAACGAATAAAAGATAAAAGTCAAGTCAATAATTTAAAACATTTACCTAATATGTATTAAAATTCAAGGGTATACAGGATTGTTGCGAACGTTAACGATTCAGTGTCACAGCACCTTCTTCAGCACAAATTTGAGTTAATAATATAAAATAGTAAAAATATATAAATTTAGGTTAATAATATAAAATAGTGAGAATATATAAAGTTTTATTCGCTCGTAACATTGGCCTTTGTATTGATTCATTTGTAATTCCAACATTGATCTTCAAGAATCGTGTTATTTAATATAAACGTCTTGAACTTGGAGGAATTTATTTTGCGAGAAACGTCGGGTTAATTAATTATCTTTGAACAAATTGTCTAGAACAACAGTATTGACAATCTGAAATATTTCTTTATATGTATAGCAATGTCAACTTGTAAAAACGTATTTTATTTAATTTTTGTCACGCAAGTATCGCGAGAATATTTGCATTATAATATCTCTGCGATAACGAAATGCCAATTGCAGATTGACGTTTCAAAGATTAAGTAACATAGTAGATCATAAAATGTGTCCTTACTGGTATATCCTTTCCATAAAAAATCGAGTTGCTCTTCCCTGTTTTCACATCAGTAATTTTAACGTCGCCAAAAAACATGTCGGTAATCATAATTTCAAAATCAGAAATCCACGTGCCGTTGAAGCCAGTCATGTAGAAGAAATTTGTATATACGTCCATCAAGGAAAATGGTTCTTTCGCAGTTTCATCCATATTCTTGTTAGGGATATCGCTGCTGTCGATATATGCAACTATATAAACAGATTTAACAAATTTAAAGTATAAACAACAGGTGAATTAATATTCATTGAACTCGCCAGTAACTACATTTTCACAAGTAACGATCAAAGTGTGTATTTACCGAATGTTAACTACGCGAAGGATTAAATTAATTAATTCACCCACCTGCCCGTGATTGGCCGATGACGATCACGAAGGCGCACAGTACCAGAAGTTGAAGAGGCTGAAAGAATTTCGGATTTGCCAACAATAAGATATGCCGTGAAAATTCTATTATGTATATATACCATACATAAATTTAACGGAACGGACACGGACAGAATATATAGCGCAAAAAATTTTGAAAATGTGGTTACTACTATTGCCCAAACTTCTAACTGCGCTCGTAACTTCGCGAATTCTCGACTTCGGTAACCGCGGAAGGCTTCGTTCCTGTTCTATGGATCGTTAACCTTTCTTCCAGTCAAGAAACATTATTTTTACGAGGAAAAAGGATCATTTCTCCTTTCCTTCGTCCTGTAAAGTTGAGACTTTGATCGCGAATAAAAAACGAAAGGTAATCTTGGTAACGATGAAACGGAGTCGATCTCTGGAAAATTTACCCTCTTTCTGCTGGAATCGCTGATATTTTTATTTAATTGGAGATTAGCAGCTTTCTATTTGTTCATCGATTATCGAATACAATCTTACCATTAATGCGAAGAAAAAAAAACGAGTAATTAAGATTAATCGAGAATCAGTCAATGTTGGCGCAACAGATCCTCAGTAAATGGAAATTGGTGACAGCCCCGATATATCGGAAGAATCGAATCTAAAAATAACTCACTGCTACGAGTTTAATACCTCGAGCGCATCGCCGTGTATATTCTACGACGAAGAAAAGGGACGCGAGAGAGCTTAGGTAGAAGGCGATAAATCGAGACAGTTCGGACCCTCGAAACTTTTCCATCGGTGGGCGCGCATCTGACGAAAAGTGCTCTCACAGACTTATCGATTCGATACGTCGGGACATTGTGCCTGTCCCACGAGTGAAATCGAAACAGAAGTAAGTCGGATAAAAGCCCTTCCACCATAATGGTAGATCGCGAGTTCCGATAGTTATTTTCGCGGCTGCTCCTCTTCAATGCATCTTGGGGAGGTGGGACCGGATCGGGGGACAAGTGGTGTAAAAAGTAGGGTATTGCAAATATATCTCTGTTAATTTCTTAGAAATATCCGCTTTATCGCGAGGCGAGAACCTAAAAATAAGTCACCCAAAGTCAGATAATGCTTGTGTTAACGATTTAAGCGAAGAAGCTCGAGAATTTTTCGGGAACACTTTCTATCTTTGAGGAAAAATCGATTTCTCTGTTCGATGATTCTCGCAACATGAGTGAGGGAAAAAAAAGGAAAGATAACGGCGGATTCGTCGCGCCGTCGGACAACGTACCGTGTGTCTCGCCATGATAAATCGGCCGAACTTCGAGTCGCAAACTCCGGATGATAACGATCGATGGTACCGCTGCTGGCTGGCGGCGGCCGATCTCGCGAGTGCGCTCGACGAAGACTAATATATCGCGTACTTTCTCAGCGTGTTCGCGGTGACACGGTGACACGTGCTCCCACCTCTTCCGTCAAATCAGGGACATACCCACGCGTGAGTATGTGCTTTTTATCGTGTTTGTGTTTCTAGACTTGTTTGTTGGCCTAATGTTTAGTTTTAATGCTGATAAGATGATCTTCTTACACTAAGTTACACAGATTCCTCTTTTCGAAGAAATGCCTCTTCTCCATGCTTCTAGACAAAGTTCCGGTGAAGTCCGTAGGTTTCACTGAATGGGCTTTACGTTATCAAAGTTGTTATTTTAAAGAAGGAATTAAATATATAAAGAGTATAGGCCAATGATGTGACGGGCAGCTCAATTTAATATAACGCCGTTAAATATTTTACAATCAAGGAACAAAGAAAAAGTATAACGACGCAAACAAATAAGATCGAAGGATACAGATGAAGTTGAATAACTTATAAATAAAAATAATAAATTAGAGATACACAAATAAGGTTAAAAACGTTGTACAATGAACAATTAAAAATTAAAATTATCGTTCGAACGTTTCGACTCTACTTAGTCTTCATCAGCGAACTTCTGCTTGTAAGGTGTATCTCTAATTTATTATTTTTACTTATAAGTTATTCAACTTCATCTGTATCCTTCGATCTTATTTGTTTGCGTCGTTATACTTTTTCTTTGTTCCTTGATTGTAAAATATTTAACGGCGTTATATTAAATTGAGTTGCTCGTCACATTATTGGCATATACTCTTTATATATTTAATTTTATACAAAAACGAGCTTGCCAAAAAATTGATATTAAAGAAGGAAACTTGAAAGAAAAATATGTCAAGTCGAAGAAAAGAACTGTGTATGGAATAAATTAAAAAAATAATAGAGCCACAGAGTTCCTTTTTTAAGAAAAACAGGAAATTTTGCTAATTCGATTTCTATTGTATATTTCGATATTACATTTGTAATTTTGTATTTTTTTATATCATAATTGTTGATTGTAATTGTTGAAATCCGTTTGTATGAAATTTCTGGATCACGCTGTATATAGGAAAGAGATAGGATTTAGTATCAGCTGACTTTCGATATGTTTCGCGCGTATTTAAACGCGATATTATTTTTATGCGTCGGTACACGTTTTTCTTCCTGAAACATCGCGAATTGTCGGGCGGGTCGTTACAACGATAAACTTTATAATGACATCATAAAATTGTGTCGTGACAGAAATTTAAAGGCAATGCGGACGACAATGCGACTGCACTAAATCTCAGCTGAGACTGTTATTATTATCAAGGCCGCTTGTTATTTAACTGCACGCGCAATACGGGACGATTATCTCTACGCCTTCGTAAGATAAGAAACTAATACATATGCTTTGGTTAGCACAGCGCCGAATATGTTTATCGATTAAATTAGATTAGCAGATTGATCGAATTCATCAATCGAGATTGTTTCTTTATTAAATGGCAGGAGGAAATTAATTCGATAAGTTAAGATAAACTCATCCGGTGGATTATTATTCGAATAATTACAAGCTGTTCGTTAAGTAGAATACTGTCTTCAGGAATGAGTAAGATAATTTATTGTTTTTTCTCAATTTATTAAATAAAGATAAGGGATATTTGTCGCAACGGCAAGCGCGTCGTCCACGTGCGCTTGCTGTCTAAAACTGCTGTCGACAATAAAGGCAGAAAGCTAACGATTTCCTCCTGTCACGAAACATGTCGTTTCGAAATATTGCATCGCGCCAGGCGTGCACCGTTTTCAATATTGTAACGATCGAAACGCACAAAGTACCAATGTCTGAGCGCGCGCATGCACTCGGTTCCTTTTAATCTTTTTACATAAAATCTACAATAAAGACGTCGAGCTATCGCACATTTTTCCCTTGCAAAAAGAAGACGATATCACTATCGAAAAAGGAATTCGTGACTGTTGAACCGTAGGCAATAACATCACTCGGAATAAAAATCGGAAACTATCAATTCCTCGGTGTCTTTTCCATCCTCGATCGTATCAACTGTTTCGAAAAATTTATCGTCGCAGAGTTGCTTAGGCCTGTTCTACAATACTTCGTATGTCGCTGTCGGATGTCGGGACGCAGCCGATGGTCCAGTGAGAAACTTTCTTTTCGAAAATGAAATTTTCCCGTTGGACCATCGGCTACGTTCCGACATCCGACATATGTATTGTAGAACAGGGGTCATTCCACTTTGACGGCCCAAAAACTGTGCTCATCTTTAACAATTTCTTTCGCATACACCGTAAATACACATACAATGAAACAAATCTTTTTGGGGTTTATTAGGGCACTCTTAAATAACACAAAAAAATTCAGTTATAATTTAAACCATTTTTTAATTAAGCGTTTTCTACACCGTTCCAATGGCGTGTCAAAAAGATGCGAGTCCGCTACGTTGACGACTTTTGTCATTCAGGCTTACCTGAAACAAAAAGTCGAAAAGACTCTTCATCTATATGAGTGTCGCTATGTCCCGAACCTCAATTAATAATTTTTATATAAAAATAAAATGGTGCCAGTTTGAAAAAAAAAGTTATTTTTAAAACTTTTTCAAACTTTTTCAAACTGCTACTTCTCCACTCGGATGAGCCACAAGTAGGAACATCCCTAGGTGTAATACGGGCATTATGGCCAGTCTCTGATTACAGAGTCTCTACAGTACATTGGAGGTAGTCGCCATCTCGTCTTAATAACGCAAAATGTAGGAACGTCGCGACCCGGGTTACCTACCGCTAAGCCTTCGCACTCGGTTCAATACATTTACCGCATCTCGGAACTTCCTTTGGCGTTACTTGCCAGCAGCTGTTAAAACATAGCGAAACCAGGAGAAGTTTCCGTTACGTTTAAAATACTAGGGTATATTATCTTTTACGTGTTGCACACGCTGATGAAATTATGTAAAGGTGTTATATATGATACGAATCTTAATTTAGATAAAATTTAGTGCTAAGTTTTACATGACATTTTCAAGCAAAGAGAGATCGATTGATTGGACGTTTACTTATAGAATAACATCAGACCGGTATTGTTTTAAAAAAGGAATTTCTCTCTAAAATATTAAAATACGTCGTGAAAAGAGAATGGTCACACAGGAAATATTAGTCTCATATAATTACCATGCATTTGTTTTTTTCAACACGAGTCCTGCTAATGCTGATAAAAATAACAATTCGCAAATTTGGACCGTCAGCGGCAGGGCGTGTGAGAGAGAGAGAGAGAGAGAGAGAGAGGGAGAAAGAGAGAGAGAGAGAGAGAGAGCGAAGGGGGAAGCGTCCCGGAAACTCTTTCGGAACAACAATTTCTTGCGTCAACCCTCCTTGGCGCGCAGCCCCGTGAAGAATATTTGCGACCCTTTCATGGGCGCGTTTACTATCGATCGGTGAGGATATAACGCGTACCAGTCGTTGCCACGAGTCGAGGAATTGCAATAAGAGAGCAAGAGAGACGGGGATACGGAGGGAGAGAGCGAGCGCGCGAGAGAAAGGAGGAAAGAGCGAGAGGGAGAGGGAGACAGGGTGCCACAAAGACCACCCCTTTCGGACCGACGACTATAAGTACCGGTCGTGGTCGGTTCGCGTGGCTCGTGTGCGCCCCGTGGTCCCACCGGCGTGGCATCGCTTTCGCGTACGCGGAAAAACCACTTGGACTAGGGCGCCGAAGTCGTTTCGATCTATGAATAGATCCTGATCAGTTTCCAATCGCGCAACGTCCGTTCGTCGTCTGATCGAGCGGTCGGGAGGCCGACGGGCGCGCAATAGCACGTGGAACCTCCTGCGAGGAGCGCGGCGGACGATGATTCCGGCGATTCCGCGGGTTCGGAGTGTGGTCCACGAGGAACCGTCGTAATGACCGATCTCGTGGCGGCGGGGGACCCGAGTGATCGTCCGGGGTAGACGTGACGTCGCTCGGGGTCATCGAGGGAAATCAACCGAAATGAGGAGGAGCAAGTCGCGGGGGAGCGTCATCGAGGACATATGCGGGTGTTCCGCTCTGTCGTCGATCGTCCAAAAGAAAGATCTGAATTCCACCTCAGGTAAAAAAATGCACAAAGCAAGTTGGGCCGGTAGAGACTACGGTACGGTTTCGCCGATGTTGTTTAACTTGAAGCTTAGCTTAATTCGTTCTTCGTCTCTTTCCAACTGATGCTTTGGAAAGAGACGAACGCGAATCAAACTAAGATTAAAGTTAACCGGCGTTTGGTGAACGCGGGCCTAAGATCGCTTCCGCGGTACGAGTATCGTTAGACATGAGATTTCCATGGAATTCCATTTTTCCGATTGTCAACGATCAGGATAGTCGTCCGATCCAAATGTCGCGCCGTTGAAATTCTCGCGAGTGAAGGCGAAATACTGAAAATGCACCGACTGCTCCGTATGTTTTAATATAACACCCCGTACGTGACGGATTTGGAATCGTCGGTACCGGCGGGCCGTCCAAAGTTCGTCCACAATTTGCGATTCGATCGATCGTCACGCACGTGTTCTCCGGACGACGGAAAACCCCACGCGATCGATGACGTGCTCGACGCGCAACCTTGAACGAGAAAAGCGACCACTGATCGCTTTCCTCCTTCTCGTAGCGAAGAAGACACTTCGGGGTGATACTTGGACAGCGACACTCCCGGCGTCTGGCATCCAGATGCCAAAGAGATTCTCCCTTCGGTCGGATTCATCCCTACATTCCTCCTCCTTGTTCTTCTCTCTCTCTCTCTCTCGCTCTTTTTCCCTTTGAGTTACGCCATTTATCTCGTCATCACGCTTTCTTCACATCTCGAACCAACGAATGCTCTCTTATTGTTAGTGCTTTTAGCGATTACAACATTGTTTTGCCTCTCGCCGTTTTCTCTCTTCGCTCGAGAAGACGCATATTGCCATTCCGTAAACGCACTGTTCTCCGAAGATAAACTCAATAGCGAGATAAAAGGAACTACGTTTCCCTACGATAAAGTTAAACAGTCGTCGTCAGAAAGATGTTACGATATTATGCGCCGTCACTCGAAAGTGTTACAGTCGTACACTCCGCTCTCATTATTGTTTTGGTACTAATTGAATTAATCCTAGTTACCAAGATCTCTCGCCGACTCTGCGAAATACGATAATTCACGCCTTATCTATCTCCCTCTTCCCTGGAAGGTGGGGCGGGGTGGTGTGTCACTTGCAATAGGTGCGTAACAAAAGGAACTTCCGCGAGGGAAAATCCTGGAATCGCGATTAATACGTCAAACAATCGGGGCGCGCGTGGCGATATTCCAGCCTCTTGTCTACTTTTCTTCTCTTCTTTCCCGTTCTGCGTGCTCTGCCCCCTCCATTGGTCCACCGGCAGCCACCAGCTGGTTTGTTTCTGGCTGCGTGGACGTCCCCGACCCTTCGTAGAAGCCAGCTTTGAATCCCCGAAGCCAGTCGGCAGCCGATGGCGCTTACGTTTCCTCGATCGAGGTCCTGCTTCGATTTTTTTTCCTTCGCCTCTTCGTCCCTTTCATCGCCTAGATCTCTCAGTTTTTCCTCGTGCGACTTGTTCGCATGCGATATATCAACGCTATACATTGTCCAAGGATCCCTAGCGTAGCGAACATTATGAGTTACGTGACTTCGAAGTTGTGTCAACAAGCATCGTCGGGCTAGTCTTCTTAGTCGCCCCACCACCTCGGCGGGGAGTCGTTTGCGGTCCCCTCGTCTGGACCAGGGACCCTCGGGGCCCCGGCAGGTGTAAGACAGTGTTTCCATTCACTGCGAAGTGGCAGCAAGGAAAGCAACGGCGGGGATCGTTTTTCCCTGGCGAGCTGTGTTGAACGGTGAATTAATGGTATAATGCGCAAACGGTTAAATGGTGATTTACAATTCGACAAGGCCAGCCTCGTGAGTCTCAAGTTTTAACTCTCGACTTGCCTTCCGCGTTAAAAAAAAGTGGTATACTTTAATCTCGGAGTAATGACAATTTGAATTCAACAATGTGACGGAAAAAGTTGAAGGAGTAATGAAGTGAATGTGAAAGCGTAAATTAACGCGCGGAGGAAGTTTCGTCGAAATAAAAAGGGCTGAATGTCACTATCATGGTTTTCTTCGGAAGGAAAGACAAGCTGGAGGACCGGCGATTGTTGGAGAGCATGGACGCGATAAACGGCACGATTATCCATCAAATCGACAACGGTAAAGTTCGTACATCGGTCGCGTCTGTGTTGGTCTACAACCTTGCTTTAAGTAAGCCTTAAGCCGTAAGAAATTAACCAATCACAGGTGAGAGCGAGGGGAATAAATGCCTGTGATTGGTTAATCTCTTGCGGCTTAAGGCTTACAGCTTACTTAAAGCAAGGTTGTAGACCAACAGTCTCGTCGCGGATGAGGATGCCTCCCATCGCGCGCGTAATGAACGAAAGCGCGTTTCCGGCGAAATTGTCGTCGCGGCTTTCTCGAAATTAAAGAGAAATATTTTCTCACTTTGCGTATCCACGTAACGCATTCTCGAGGCATACTTCCTCGAACATCCGGTGGGAGCGAGCGCAAATATTATCGCCGGCCGCATATTTTTAATTCCTTCCCTTCCCATCCTTTTCCGTCCGCGTTTGCTTTTCCCTTTTATTTTAACGTCGGCCGCGGCACGCCTTTCAATTGTCACCTGTGAAATTTATCAGCGCGTAGCAATAATTATACATCGCAATTGCGTTGAATGAGCTAATTAAATTGGTAATATTAGCGGGGAAGAAAGAGGGAGCAAGAGACAAAGGCACAGTAGGAAAATTATCACTTTATAACACAAACGATATCAATAATTGTACACTGAAAAAAATTTCTGGTTGAATATGGACGAATCAGATCATTCCTTTAGGATTTACCAGAATTTCTGTAGGATTACAGGAATTCTGGTAAATCCTAAAGGAATTATCTGATTCGTCCATATTCAACCAGAAATTTTTTTCAGTGTATGCATAATTTTACTATAATTATAATTCGATATCGACGCTAAAAATAAAAAATATATTCACTCAATTCCTAAGCGAGAAAGCAGCGTATTCCGTGCGCGTTGAATGAACTAATTAAATTGGTAATACTATTGAGGAAGAGACAAAGGCACAATAAGAAAATAATCACTTTATAACACAAACGCTATAAATTGTATGCACAATTTTACTATAATTGTAACTGCTATAATTAGTTATCATGTGTATAGCGTTTTCATTTTTCTGCTTGTACATCTGTCTCTATACTGTTATATATATTGTAAAGCAATATATATTACGTATTATTGCTTTTATATTATAATTCGATGTCGACGCTAAAGATAAAAAAATACATTCACTCAATTCATAAGCGTGAAAGCCGGCAGCGTATTCCGCGCGCGTTGTGTCCCGCGTTCCCAGCCATGCTTCGATGCTTTATAATAGCATGCATTTATCATTCATGTGCTGCATAGTTGGCGCAGGTTATTATTACATAGTCAAGTGGCTTTTCATCGAGCAGTCGGGAGTTCCAAACGCGTTACCGGAGCATAATCAATCGACGAGCCGTGCATTACATGAAATATCCAATAACTGTGTTACTAAAGCCAAACGAGATGTACATTTTCTAGCTATATTTTCGTTTCGTTCGTCCCCAATCGCCGACATGGCAGTACATATATTACGGTTAGGAATAGAGCATATTTGAACAAAGTAGCGCAGACGTATCGCGATCGATAATATCGAACCGCCAACAGGTGCAACTCTACTTAAATGGAACGTGATAATAATGCCTAAGAGGCCTTGGGCTTGCGTACCACTTGAAGTCGCGAATGGAGCTGACGTTAATTGAACGCTCTTAGATGTGTTATTTAACAGCTTTGCGCTTCGCGAGAGACCCTCGAGCTTGTTCGATAAATATATAAGATCAACCCCATCGTATACACTCGTGCACTACTTGCAGTCCCGCGCTCGTTAAAACGAACAAACGGTCCTCCAATGATTTCCCAGCTCCCCAAGAAAAAGTTGTATAAGCACTTGTTCCATTTCCAATTATGCGCCGGATTGAAGGAAATGGTTGTCGCGTAAATAAAAATTGTTCGTGCCAATATCGGTGGCGTATCAATGAATTCCAGGTGTCGTTCGGAATTCTTCCGAGCTCTCGCGCGTATATTACTCATCTTGCCAACTTATCTTCAAGTTTCGTTCGCCTCCGCTTCAACAGTCGCTCGTCGAAGCAAAGCGCTAAACACGTAGAAAAATGCTCGAGGAGATCGGGTACAGAGTCGAGGGGGATCTCGCGCGACAGCTTCGGCCACCTGTAGCTGACGATATTGATCAGGCCGAAAGATGGCCACGCCCGGGTTCACTCTCGCGTCGCTACAACCCCGTGTCGGCATCCCGTTTCTCCCTCGTTCACCCTCGTCTCTCTTCCTCTCTGCTTCTCTTTCTCTCCACCGCTGGTTGCCGCCGCCGCGGCCGCATGCCGCATGCCGCATGCCGCATGCGGCGATGCGCGCTGTTCCTACCGCCGGTGAATCCGCAGCTGATTATGAACAAGTGCGCCGTTGCTGTTCCAGCCGCGTTCATGCACGTGCGCGACAACCTCGAGGAGCTGGGCGAAGTCGCCGATGACACGGATCTGTTGTTTCTGAAGGGCCTCCTCGACAGCCCGGTCGTCACGTCCCTCGTGAAGGTGAGTGATCTTTATCTCGAAATTAAACCGCGGTCCGCGAGATCGTCCCGCGAGACGATCCTCAACAGTTTGGATCTCCGCTGATATCCCCGGGTCTTTTATTCGTCAGTAGATTAGATATGAAAGACGCCACGAAGAACATCTTATCGTAGGCGCTGGATGCTTTAGAATACGAAAGACTTGAGTTTTACTTTTCTCATACGGTTTCTTCCTTTCGCTTTTTCATTTCCCGTTTTCGCTCAGCGTCAGACGCGAGAAATTCTAATGGGAAACGATACCAATTCGCAATTTTCTTCACCTTCCTTGGACGGGTCGTAAACGCGCGAGTGGATGTCATTTCAGTTTGTACACGTTGCGCACACGGCGTGGAACGCGCGTCCGTGTGCTCATCAAGCTGTGTTTACTACGATCGTGGAAATTTATGAGGGGCCTGTCTGCGGTTCTCGCCCGCCGCGGTATCCCTCAGATTCGTTATGTCGTTGAATGAAAGAAATCAAAAACTATCGAAACGCTCGCGCGAACGTTCTGGCCGTCTGCCCGTACGGTCCGTGTCGTTGAACCGTGAACGTGTTCGCCACGTTGATCGATCATTTAGAATGGCGAACGCGACCAAGACTGGAAATAAACCAGCCCAGGTTAAATCAGGGAACATCTTAGCGGCTACGGTGTGTAGTGCACGATTCCGCGGAGAGAAAATGTGCAGTTCTCTAATTTCTAAATATAGTACGAAATCTAGGCTTGCGCAGCCTCCGCGAAGAGCGGGACGGTAACCGATCGTAGAGCGGTAACAATCTCGATCGTTTATACTTATCGCCTGTACTCTCACTTTAACGCCGCGCCAGCAATACATAAATTTAACTTGATGTGTTTATTCGTCGTGGCGAAAGAATATCTCCGCCGCGATGCGATGCTCTCCGAACTGATCTGTCAGCGCTGAAACCTTATATTCTTTTCACTTTGCGAACTCGGTGCACGTCAGACACCCCTTTCGATAGAACCAATAGTTTCGTATTTCTACACGGAGGGAATTTTCTCTTGAAATTTGTCCTGAAAACCATGTAATCGTGGGACAACCACAGACTTCTATATACCACCTATAGACTGCTATCCTCGAGCTGAAAAGTGAGGCAAGAGTTCCGCCATGTCCTGTTAGGTAAATGAAGTGGTATGTCAGTGATACGCCGATGCACACATAGGCCGGTGTTCATAGTCTTTTTTCCCCAGAGTTTTCAACCCGAGGTTAGCACACACAGAAAAATATGTACTACCGGCAAGTAAATATTATTTGTTCCAAGTATTTGACAAGTTTATATATCCGCAAATCTATCATAATGTCGTCGCAAGTGTTATATTTACTCAAAACATATTCTGGTTCTTAATAAGTCTAGTACTTGAAACAAGAATACATAGAATTATTTGACGCAAAATAATTTTGTTTCTTCTGATTTTATTAAAAGAAGCATACGGAATTCTTCAATAAGTTTTATAATTTTCTTTAAAGAAGAATAAATTCTTTCGTTGAGTATAAGATGGCAAGCTTTTCCAAGACTAGTAACAAGTATATCTTAAAACTATTATTAAGAAAATATTCTTTGTTGAAGCAAACCATTACTTAAATGGAATAAAATAAACCGAGTAATTACTTTTCTCGACTGTACAATAATATTTTTCTGTGTGCAGTCTAGTAGTAGAGGAAATTCCTTTATCATGAGATAGGATTCTAATGTGAGATAGTAGGTTTTCAACGTCCAAATTCAATCGCAAATCTTTTTTCGCAACGATTACACGATCTAACGATCAATTCTCCACTAAGCAGAGAAGAGAGATTTCGCTCCAAGGGCAATAAATTCACGGTGGAATCAACAGATGGTGCCTATCAATTTAGCTGAAACTCCGCTATCTCATAGAAGCCTAGCTCACAATAGAGGACTTTCCTCTGTATAGAAGTCTGTGGGGACAACGTGGCATTTCGAAGAGCTTTATGAAAGTTTCTTAAAATTTCAAGAAACTCTCATACAGTTCTTCGAAATGCCACGTTGTCCCACGATCACATGATTTTCAGGATAAATTTTAAGAGAAAATTCTCTGCGTGTACGATTTGGCTTACGGGCGTGGATAATATCACCTCGCTGGAATCCGGTTCGAGTCGGAGGGCCGAGGATCGTTCGTCACTCAGCGTGAAGAAAAAGAGGGAATTTCGGGAACCAAGCGCGTGCCGGAACGTTTTATTTCTCATCCTCGCCTCCTCATGCGTGCCTTCACGCGACACCCACGCTATTTCGGTCGCGACACACTTCCCGCGATCGCAAAGAGAACTGCGAAGAGGAAGACGGCCTTCGAGATTATTACCAGCGATGGGCTGGGAAAACGATAACGCGATGCATGCGTTCCGACTATTCGGAGACTTCCTCGATGAATTGGGTTTTCGCCCTCCTCGGGTATTTCACGTGGAACGAGAGTCTTTTCATTCTCCCTATCGACCGCGTACGCGCGTTTTCCCCTCGTCCGAGAGCCGGAGGGGCCTACATTCCGATAACTCTCCACCACAGACACGCAGGTGGAGCACGTGTGCGACAGCAGGTAAAAGAACGTTCCGGTGTCGAAAGCCGTTAAAGAGTCGGTTCACGTCTCTCACCTCTTACTCCGAAACGAGCCAACAGTGGAAAGTGCCGACGGCCACGGCGCGGCGTCTTTGCGGAAAAGCCAAGTCGGGAAATCTCGCAGAGAGGTCGGGAGGACGTCGAATTGAGACAATTGGTCGATCAATTGAGAAACGAGGTGGTAGAGAAGAGGACGGGGAAAAGAGGACTCGGGTAATCACCTGGACGAGGCAATCCCGTACCGCGTCATCCCGCGGGAAGCGTCATAATCCGCTTGAAGAGGGACGCCGCGAGGCGCGGAAGGAGGGGGGGGGAGGGGAGGATTGAGATTTACAGTCGCTCAATTGGCGAAATTGCTATCTTTCTCTCCGTAATAATAATTACGGTTAATTGGCCGCGACCTCCCGCGGGACCTCTTGATTGGGCGTAGGTCACAGGCGCCTAGCGAGCGGAGTCATCGCTCGTGCATGTCGCAGAAATCCAGGCGCGAGCATGCGTGTCGCGACGGCGATGTGTTTTGTAAGTCCGTAGCGTGCGCGACGGGACGATATGTAATTTCAGTCGGTGAGTCGGCTTTGTGATCGCGCACCGGAGGAAGTGGGAGAGAGAGGCACACACACACACACACACACACACACACGCGACATGCGTGTCGCTCCACGTGTGTGGGTGACAGGACTGTACGCCTGGGCTCCGACGTGGCTCGAGATGTACGTACATTTTTTCCCCCTTTTATCTCTCGCACTCACGTCGGGTGAAGATCCCGTGACTGGACCCGCTGATCTAGGGCGTGTATAGGCATTACCTTCGACGCGAGAACGGTTCTCTCCTCCCGCTCGCGAATACAAACAATAGCGGGTACCAATTTCGCTGATCGCCGCGCGTTCAGTCGCTGGACGTTACGTCACTCGGTTGACGTTGCTTGCGACTTCGCGCGAACTGCCGAGTCCTCAAAACGGTGACACATTTAATAATGGGGCGTTCAAGTGTTCCCGGTTGTTAAATGACTATGCAACCGGTCGACTTCGGTCGACAATGGGAGCAATTTGTTTTCAGACTCGGAGTGTGTCTTTACGACCTAAAAATATATTTTCTTTCTACCTGACGTGGAGTCCGGGGTGATTAGTTCGCGCTGAATAAGGTCTTTTCTTCTCGTTTACGAGGCAAACAATCGGAGCCGAGTACGACGCCATCGCGACGCAACGAGAGTCTTCACCTGCTCCTAAAGTACTTTCGATAAACGTCAAATTATGCCGAAAGAGGAGCATCGACGTCGTTTCAATTACGACTATCTTCTACAAACCGGATTACTCGTGGAGACTCGCGATAACGAAATGCCTCACTTGTGTAAAAGCGTTTTCCAAATTGAAAGTGGTAGATAAGCGGACGTTCCGTATTCATCTTTTGCATTTTCTTCACGGTAACGAGGAATATTCATCGTTTGTTTTACGGCGCACTTTTAAGTTCCGAAAACGTTTGTGCGTTCACCGAGAGGTGACTCCGAAGACTTGAATTAGAAAACTGTGCCAAGTCCTGTCAAAAGGCTAACGCATCCACGACCGCATCCGTCGTCACATTCCCCCGTTTAATTTAAAGTGGGACCTGGATAGAATCACGATTCGTCAGCTCGGTTTGACTCCGAAGGCTTGAATTATAGAAATGTACCAAGTCCTGTCAAAAGGCTAACGCACCAACGATCGCATCAGTCGTCATATTCCCTGTTTAATTTAAAGTGGGGCTTGGACATAATCATAATTCGCGAACTCAGGTGAGGACGAGGAGGCCACGACAAATGATAGAGTCAAGAAGGAGGCTGCAGAGGGAGGCCCGGGGCGTCCGGAGAGACGCGCGATTTCGCTCCGCGGACGACCTTGAAGCGGTGGCACCGGACGAACGCGCTACGTTCCTGGAGCGAACGTAGCGGAGTGTTGCATGCCAGGAGAAGGAAGGGCCCCCACCTGTTTCAGAAACGGCAGACGACTCGCCTGAACGGGCTGCCTGTGCGGAGGGAGGCCAGACGACGTCAGTAGGCGCGGCAGACTTTTCTGACTTGCTGCTCGTACGCGAGAGTGTGTCGCGCGACGCAACGAACCCGGGGCGCACCTCCCTCGTCAGCATCCTGCGTGGCCGCCTCTGCCACCCCGTGCGACAGATCCGCTTTTCCCTCCGTTCGAGAGCCGAGCTCTCCCTCGGCCGATCGATACCCACGTCGCGAGGGCACCGACCACGACCACAGTCAGAACCGCTTAGCTTCGCCAGTCCGCACGGAGCAGCGCGTCGCGACTCTTTGTCCAGGTGAGACGCCGCTCCCGTGGAACGCGGGAAGCGCATAGTTCGCGAGAGAGGCGTCTGTCGGAGCGGACGGGGGATCCGAGCAGTCATTATCCTCAATTTTCACGTCGCTCCGCTACCGCGAGGTGGAACGTAGCCGTTCGCGAAGAGGTGTGCGACTGAAGAGGCGCGAAAGTACCGTTAGTGGCGCAATCGGGACAGGGTTTCGGGCGCGCGATAACGACGGGGTGGTCGAGGGAATCCGTGGGGCCGTATGGCTATCTGCCGATCGCCAGCGAACTGGGATAAACCCGGTAGAAAGGCGTCGGGGAACAGTAGACGCGAGCGGGATAGAGCGTGGTCGACTCGCCCGATGATGATCGGGAGAGAAACGAAGGGACTCGCTCGCCTCGCCGTAACTCCGTTCTTGCCGCGTGATCCATGCGGCAAGAGGCGCGGCCTTTTTTTTGCGAAGATCGTTCGCAGATCTCCGCGGAGCGCCTCGTGCTCTCTCGCAGGAGAGAAACGAATTCCGAGCGATTCGTCTCGCGAAGGATCTCCACAGCGGAGCGGATAAATAAATGCCGTGGCTTTATAGTCCATAAACACGCGAGTGCGGCGCGTTTCGGACTCGCAGCCTCCGATAAATCTCCGCGTCTCCCCTTAAAGACCGAATCAGACTAGCAATTGCCAACTCGGATTGGATTGGGATTGGCGACTGGCGTTTAGTCCTCTAGCCAATGAGAGTCGACTAAATCGCTGGCTGTTTTGCTCTCATTGGCTAGAAGACAATCGTCGATCGTCAATCCCAGTTGAATCCGAATCAGCATTGCTAGTCTGATTCGGCCTTTACGCAATCGGACTCGGTGCGCGAGAGTCCGCTCGGGATAAACGGAACGGGAGAAAATGACCGCTTGATGATCCGCGACGAAGCGATAAATCTTGCGCGACGAGCGTCGATTTACGGATTTTCGCGTTTGAACCTCGCGAGCACGTGGGCGACGCGCGTTGAGCAAATAAGTTGAACGAGTACTCGACGTTTTGAAAAATTTCCAAAGAAACAGTCGCAGTCCTCGCGGCCCGTTTAATCGCCGGGAGAAATTGTCCGTGACGCGCGTTGATGAGGAAACTCTCTCTCGTCTGACCGGTAACGCGCGCGTGTGTAATAATCGTCGTAGTTTGCGATTCTCGAGAGGAAATAATACAACGGTGAATCATCTCGTTCTATCACGACAATCTACTACATCTACGTTACTACGTCACCGTGCACGATAATCCGCGAAGTGATCGAGTGGAGGGGGACAATTCTGTAGCTTACGTTATAGTGAAAATGCTACAAGTGCGATGCCCGTGCTTGTCCACGATGCTAGAGTCCAAGTTCTAG